CTGCTGCTGCTGCTGCTGCTGCTGCTGCGGGGCGCCTGGCGACCGCCGGCGGAGAGGCCGCTGCCCCAGGGCCTCGCGGCCTCCCGGTTCCGCCCGGCGGGGAGCGGGGGCGGGGGAGGGAGCGGCAGGCGCCCCTGCGGGGAGGGAAAGGCGCCGTTCCCTTAGAAAAGTGCAGAATCGCTTCCGAGCCCTTTTCTCCTTCCTCTTTGCAACAGCCCTGCAAGGTAGGACACTTTTACTTACCTTTGGAACATGGAAGAAGTGAGGACGAGGTAGGTGACTTGACCCCTGGAGGAAAGTGGCCTCCAAGAGGAAGACCGAATCCTGTTTTGCCTAGTGCCAGTTCTACTCTTTGGGAGAGTTTCCCATACTCTCCCCCTGTGTGTGTTTTCATCAGAAGGCACGACTTAATTCCGTCAGAATTATGGAGGTGCAGCATACTCGAGAACTCTGATCAAAGCTTCAGATTTAGGAGAAACCAGGAATCACCCGTGGGTTATTTGAGGGTTGTTTCCCCCTCCGTCAGGCAATGCAGCGGACGTGCAGATGACATGGCAAGCCGGGGTAGTTGGGCAAACAGTGCGGGCAGGTGCCGGCGATAGTGATTATGTGAAGCCATGCTGGGCTGGGTGGACTGAGAGGGTCTGGCAGAGCGAGCGCTCCAAAGCATCCGTTGCTGCAGGCTGCCGCACGGGAGGAGAGAAGGAAAGCGGGGCCATTTCCGCAGCCCTGCTGGGTGAACTATTTTCTCCTCCTCCCTCCCCATTCCTCTTTCCTTGTATGCTGTGTCCTTTTAGACTGCAAGCCAGTGATTGTATGTAAATTGCCTGGGGGGGCTTTTTTGGCAGAGGAGCTATATAAAAATGCTTCTAATCAAGTTCCCCCCACCCCGCAGGAAAAGGCAATCAGCATTTGGGAGTCGAAGAACTTCTTCGTGGAACTGGACCCGCTCCCAGGAGCTGTGGAAGCTGTGAAGCAGATGGCCAAGTTAGAGGAGTGAGTTCGGTCCTAGCTATGCATACACCAGACTTCCACAACCTGGTGGCCTCCCTCCAGATTGGTTGGACTACCACTCCCAGTGTCCCCTAGCCAGCATGGCCATACTGCTTGGGAATGATGGGAGCTGGAGAAAGAATGGACAACTCCCACGTTCAAAAGCTGTTCTGACTGTGGCACATGGGGATTTTGGCCTAAGCAAGCAGAGGATTGTGTCTTTAACTCCCACACAGGACAAGGGTGGGCTTTTAGGGGAGGTGGGGGCCAGGCATGCAGCACCCCCCTTGCTCCAGCCTTAGTGCAGGTACACATTCTTTCCTTGAAAAAGGTCTTTGGTGCAGGCCTAGATTCCTTACTCACTAGAAGGGCAGGGAGCCAGGCTAAGGCCGAACTTGGAAAGCAGGCCATGCTGCTGCAGAAAACGGTAGAAAATCCATCTAGGACAGCTGCAACAATCCACGCACCACAGGGCTCTGAGATTCCGCCCCGAGGGCTGAACTGCAAACGTGAAGAACAAGGCAATTGTTCTCCCAACCCCACTCTCTCCCTTTTTTCCTTTTCTTTTTGGCAGGACGGACGTCTTCATATGCACAAGCCCCATCAAGAAGTATCGCTATTGCCCCTATGAAAAGGTAATGAATATATGTTGTGACTCTATCAATCAAAGGGCTGTTTTATTCTCTGCCGAGTACAGAGAGAGAGCGTCTGTGCATCCCCTTAAATTCCAGAAACACATTGCCAGGTACAAACCGTGCCAAGCACTAATCCAGAAACCTTTTCCCCAAGGGCGCTCTGTACTTGCACAGAAGTCCTCCACACAGTGAGAAGCAGCAGTAGGGCTGGCCAGGCAGGTTGGCCTCTATTTTCACCTCCTAGATCCCACCTGTTGACCATCCAGTTGCTGTCAAGGCATGGGGGGAGCAGAATTGGAGGGCTGCCCCCCCCAACAGGGGCCCCTGCCAAAATACCCCCGGGCTGCCCTCCTCATCCTCGCTTCCCCCGCATCCTGCCCACAAACCGTCTCTCGCGCCATTTCCTCTTCTGCTTTTCAGTATGCGTGGGTGGAAAAACACCTGGGCCCAGAATTTCTGGAGCAGATCGTTCTCACCCGGGATAAGACGGTGGTCTCTGGAGATCTGCTGATCGATGACAGGCCCGATATAATAGGTAAAAGGCTTGGCCCGGGGGCAACTGGCCAAGGGCCGGTGGGGGTGTTTGTGGGCACAGAAAGCCAAGCCCCCCTCCAGGGCGTCCCTGGGTCGGTCTTCCTCCTAAATACCCATGAATACAGTTGCTCAGTCAACTGCTAGTGTGCGGCGCTGGACACAACAGGCAGACTTCTGCGACTGTTCTGCAAATGAGTAATTTTAAACGACCTCAGAATTTGGGGCGGGGGGGTGTCATGTAAGATCCACAGAGCAGCGTCTCTGCTTCAACAGTGCAAAATCCTGCCCAAGATAAAGGATTTTTGCTGCCGCACACACCTGTGTTTACTGAGTGTCTTCCAGGTGTTGCCCAGACGGCCCTCTTTATACCCTTGAGGACTAGAAACTTTTCCCCCTTCTCAGGAGGCTGGCACTCCGCCCCTGCTATGAGATGGCATGCTCACAGGGTGGTGCGAGGAGCATGTTCCAGCCCCAGCATCCCTGGGCTGCTTTCACGAGCCGCCTCTGCTTTCCAGGCGCTGAGCGGAGCCCCAGCTGGGAACACGTGCTCTTCACGGCCTGCCACAACAAGCACGTGGCGCTCCCGCCTCCACGCCGCAGGCTGCACTCGTGGGCCGACGACTGGAAGACCATCCTGGAAAGCAAGCGAGCTCTGTAGAGCCAGCCAGCCCTTCGAGCGGCTTCCCGGCATGCCTGGCAAGGGGCAGGTTCGCCCGCAGGCCCGAAAGACGAGTGGAGACGCACCCCAGGCAGAAACGGGGGTGGCTGCATCTCTGGGTTCGGTTCTCCCAGGCAAAAGCTAACAGACGTGAAAGGCGAAAGTCTTCTGCGGGGAGCGCAGAAGAAAGCAGCCCCAGAGCGGCTTCCGGTGCAGAACCTGCTTGCGGGGCTGCAAGATGGCCCGTCGTGGCCGCGGGACAGAGATGCTGCCCACCTAGAAACGGCCGGTGTTTCCTGAGGACTCTGGGTGCCTGGCCCGATCGCCCCATCAGGGGTCTTCCCAAGCCCTGCTGAGCTTCACGTTTGGCCTCCATGGAGGTGGCCCGCTTCCTTCCCCTGCGCTCCCAGTGGGCAGCTCTCCATTACGGGGCCACGTTCACAGTCGCCTCTGCGGGGCGCCTTTGCAAAAGACACGTTCCGGGCCCCAAGCCCACGAAGCCGTCTCCTGCTGGAGTTCCAGGCCAACATCTCCGGCATGCAGGGGCCGGGTTCCCATTCGGTCGCCCTTTCGACTGCCAGTTCAGCCTCCCTCCCATGTAAGCCCAGCACAGGCCCCTCAGAGGCACGCGGGCCTTGGCTGCGCTTGGCCAGCCGGGGATGCTTGGAGCTGGAGCCCCCGCATGCCTGGACGGTGCTCTGTGGGGAAGGCGGCCTCGCCTCTAACCCTCCCCAGCAGCCAGCGGCCCGTGTCCGCCCTGCTCTGCCGCCTCATTCAGCTGCAAACGCACACGGCCAAGCAAGCCGCATCCCCGCCTCAGACCCCCACGCAGCCCGCCCCCAAACCTCTTCAGAGAAAAAGCTTGCGCCTCAGCCAGAAAGGGGCCCCACCTGGCTGGCTGGTTTTCTCCGCAGATAAATATTTATCTGCCTACTTACTCAGTGTACAGTAGGACACTTAGGCTTGTGAGTCCACAGCCTAGAGCCTGAAAACCGGCCTGCCATCCCACGGTGCTGCCGGCCAGAAGCGGCCCGAGTGGGTGCTCCGTCATGTGGGTCGCGTGCTGCTGGAGAGAGCCACGTCCAGGCGGGGCCTTCCTGCCTGAAGCCGAGCGGACGATGCTTCCTGCGCCCGGTCGGGTCAGGTCGCGCAGTCCCCTGCACACCTCACCTGGGGCAGGCAGATCCTGCAAGCGCTTCTCCCTCTTGCCGGCGGGAAAAATGCAGCCGCCACGGTTGCATAGCTAGCAGTTTCCTGTCTTTTAACAACAGCCTCCGGGCGCGACCCGCTGCCAGTTTAAGCAGGGAAAAGGCCAGTTTAGACGGGAAGATGTCTGTGGCTTGAGAGAGTCCTTTTTTCTGTCCAGACTGGCAGAAGGTTGCACTTAAAATCTGCTGACTGAGGCAAACAATTCACCCCGCCTTATGGCCGGGCCGGGCCAGTCCGGAAGTGGGACAAGCCCATACTGCAGTCATCCCCATGATAAGCTGGGCCCCATTTATTCCCAGTGCCAAAACATTTCTTAGATGGCAAAAACTTGTCCTCCAGTAGAAAAGCTTTGCAGCTTCCAAAAGAAGCCGCGGCTAAAGCTAAACATCTCTTTTTTCACAAATCAAAACCTGGCAGAACTGCAGAATCGATTTGGCGGTGGATGTCCAACATTTTCAGGTAGAGTTTTCTGAATTCGAATGTCTCCTGTACAATGAGAGAGAGCTCTTGAGTTGAAATGAATTTGAAAGGCTCAATGTCGGTTTGTTCGTCTGCATCATTTGACACCCCATCTGCTGCATCCGCTGTTGGAAATCTAGCAATGTGCATAACTGGTAGCATTGAAAAAATAAATTTGAATGCAAACCGATTTGAATTTTCGTGTGGAGATGCAAGCTAGATGGATCGCTGTAAGGACAGCAGGCTGTTATCTTGTATGCATTCACCTGGGATCAAGCCCCATGAAACACACTTCGGTTTACCTCTAAGGAGGCCTGTGCAGGACTATGCTGTTAGTTCCTCAAATTCATATCCTCTCCGATCCCAGGCCTTTAGTGAAAAATACAGCAAGCAGCATGAGCAGCACCCACAGTGAAGAACGGGCTGTAATGACTGAGCTGCAGTTGAAGCTAACGGGAGCTGTCTCGGATGGCAGAATTCCAGGTTTCCCAGGGTAAAAAGTCTCTGACATGGATTGTCAGGAGAAAATTCTACATTTTACCAGGCAAGGCCGGTGCCGCCTCTGTCCGTGAGGCTCTTAATCCATAGCAGCTTTTATCTGGAGCCTTGTGGGATTTCTCCATGGTGCTGCTCGACCTCCAAGGCAGGTTCCCTTGCAAATCAACAGCAACAACTTTTTCCTGTCGGAATTGCTAACTTTTTGGCCAGTCTCTCCTCGGAGAACCTGCTCTCTGGCAAGCCATGGAGCTAAGACACCCATTGTTCACTGCAAACCAAGCTGCAGTTCGAAGCACAGTAACAAGGGGCCGGGGGGAATGTAGGCAACCGGGATTAAGGAAAGGAGCCTTCCACGTGTGGGTCGTTGGCCTTGAAGCCTTGGTGCCTAAATTCCGATTCAGCCACCAGGGGGCGATAAGAGCAAAGAAATTTGCATTGCTGTCAAAACTAATTTGAGCAGAATTATCAAGCTGCTTTTTCTGGAAGTTTTCCTGTCTCCATCCCAGGAGCTTCTATTGAATCATGAGGGGGTGGGGGGGATGGAGAGGAGCCCTCCCCAGGTTTCCAGCCCCTTGACTAGGTAAAGGCTGTAAGGCACACCGTTTCCACAAAAGTTTTCGTACAGAACATACAGGAAAGGTTGAATAAGGTCCTTTGTTGTCATGAGGACTAGCAGCATGGTTCACGTTTCTAGCCCTTCAGCTGCCACTAAGTACATCCTCAAAGATTTAATCAAATACTATGGTACTAGGTTTGTCTCCTTAGGGGAAATATTAGAAACTTGTGCACATTTTTGGGAAAATCACCACAATTGACAGCAAATATCTCAGCACCAAAGTCTCAACATTACCAGTGTCCTGTCCCATTTGCCACAGGAAAGACAATTTTCCTCTTCCTACCAGCTGCTTCACCATAGTTCCTCCTGAACTGGTGGGAAAATGCATGAATGAACCGTGAACCAACATGCTGTGGCATCACGGAAGCTCAGCCAATCAGGCCAGAGGCATGACTATTTCTAAAACAAACATCATTTGTTATTCTTTTGAGTCTGGCCTGATTAAGTTTGCTCGAGCCGATTTGAAAAATCCTCGCAGGTGCAGTCACATGTCTTGGATCGATACCTACTCCAAAGCACAACCACCAGGAAAGGGCAGGGGAAGGGGTGGCCAGGGGACGAAATGGAGCACCTTGCGGAAGGGCCTGGCTGGCTGGCTGGCTGGCTGCAACCCAGCAAAGCAGCACTTTGCTAGAAGGGGAAGATGTGCTGCAACATTTTGGCAAAGGAACATGGCATCATGTTTCAAAGGATTCTGCAGTCCCCCGTTAGGTGGCGTTCCAGGCGCGGACAGCGTCATTTAATAGTCATTATACCCAAGAGGCGACTAGAAGTTTCTTGTTGCTGGTTTTTTGTTTTTTGTTTTTTGCTCTTCTGTTCTTTTCCATGAGAGACCATAAATTTCTTATCTCGCTTCTTGACTGGTTTGTCCTCCAAGCCCTCCTTGCTCCCAAAACATCAAAGATAAAAGAAGATATGTGGATGTGCCCAGGAAGTCTGAGAAACTTAAAGAAGGGCAGGGAAATAAACCTCATCGGAAACGAGTCCCATGGATTCAGTCCTCCAGGGGTTACAGAGCGATCCCAACAGGGCCCAAAAAGAAAAGGACTCAGGGCTGCGTGATGCACCCATGCACTCATTCATACGCAGAGATGCCCACTGGATAAGAAACTCTGCAAGACAAGGACCAGGGGACTGGCGTCCTTGCTCCTGGGCCAGCGTCGAGGGGAGGCGTGTTTGGACACCTGCTGGGGACCCACATTCCAGGAGGGACCGATCGATGCACCTCCCAGCCCTGGCTGCCTGCTTCTCCACCTGCCTGGCTTTGGAACAGGCAACAGGAGACGCAGGGGGCGACCCACCGGGCCGGTCAGTGCTGTCTACGCTGCAACCGTTGCTTAGGGGCAATTTCAACGTCCACGTGGTGGGCATGTCGTGAGTGGAGCCGGCTGGTGCCGGGGGTCAGACTAGATGGCCCGGGAGGCCCCTTCTGACTCTCTCTGCTTCCATGTTTCAAGGCCCCGTTCTCCCTTCATTGAGATTGTTGATATAGTCCCCTTAGCTTTTAAACCTGAAGTTTTCTGATTAGGCATTATACCTGTTGATATTAGTAAACAAGAAATGTACTTGATTTTACATGTAATTACTGTGGCGAGGATTGCATTTGCTCAATACTGGAAAAGTGAAGAGCCACCCACCGACAAGCTGATCCTAAAAAAGATCTTGGACTGTGCAGAAATGGATAGACTGACTTTGTCATTGAAGGAGAAAGAAGATATGGTCTTCTATCAAACTTGGGACTCTTTTTATCATTGGCTAGAGAAACGGGACTTCGTATAGATTTAAATATGTTTTTAAGTTATCAAAAATAGAAAAAATGTGAGGGCTGACCCAGCAGGTCCGATGTTTCCGATGACTGATGTTGTTTTTAGTTTTTCTTTGTTATAGGGTTATTTTGAATAAAACTTATTTAAAAGAAGAGAGATTGTTGATATAGTCCGTCTTTGGACCAGGTTGCCCCTCAAATGTTCAAATAGAAGACGATTTCTGTAAAAAAGGGCAGCCTGGGGCCTTTGAATATCAACTAGATGCAAAGGTCAGGGAGAGTAGGAGCCAGTCTGGTGTGGTGGTTGGTGATGAACTACAACTCCAGAGATCAGGGTTCTAGTCCTCACTCGGCCAGGAAGCCCAATGAGTTTGGGCCAGTCTGACCTGCCTCACAGGGTTGTTGTTGTGAGGCTCAAATGCCATATTTAACAGCGGCAGCAAACACCCCTGCTTCAAGGAGCATAAACATCCTACAGATGTAGCAATGGACACCTCTGTGTTGTTAACAACCCTTTCTGCGGCTCCATCGCAGGGTAGACTTGTGCTAAGCCAGATGCAAACATTTCAGCATTTAGAACCCAGCCCTTCTGAACAGCTGTCCAGGCGAAGGACCCATCTTCCTTTGCCACCGGTCACCTCGGCTTCATGGCTGAGAAGTGAGCGTACTCAGGAACAAGAAACAACGTACAAAAGAGGAGTACTTGATTCTGCATTTTCTTTCCAGCTCTATAAATGGATGTGAAAGTCTTCGGCACATTGACCTCGCTGAATCTCCAGGATCTATTTCTAAGGAGTACCGCACAGGCTGGAGTGTCGAAGTGACGCTGACACCTGACATCTCTCTGTCAATGACATCCGCAAGCACCTCTTGGGAATTAAAAAAGGCTCCCAGAAAAACATGTTTGTGGAAACTGTAGGTACGGGCCCACAAAATGTTGCATGTGTCACCCCTCTTCCCACTCCAGACCCTGACGCACCGCGGTGTTTTCCGGCCACCGCATGCCCACCAGCTCCCTTCTGCAGGTTTCCAGCCGCCGCTTGCTGCCAGACGAATCGCAGACTGAACATCCTTTGACGTCAAGGAGAGTTTGGTCAGCCCTGTTCCCTCGCCGGGGGAACAGCCGGGGCCCATGCCACTTTCAAGCCTGCGGCAGCTGAATAAAATTGGCAGGATTCTAGCGCTTCCTGAAAGAAGGGGTTGTTTCCAGCCGGCAGCCGGAGCCAGGGGGCCGACTGGGCATAGAACGGAGATTGGCCGCATCTCTGGCATTCCGCTCCGGCAGAAGCCACGGTCGACGGCATGGAGGAGAGCGAACCGCGTGGGCAGGCAGCGAGGGGCTTCCGTTGCATTGATCCGTGTGAGAGTCCCAAACACCTGGCTTTTGATCTTTGGAAATGCTTTTGGCATGAAAAGAGCTGGGGGGCTTTTTTTTGGCTCGGGGAGTCACTCCAGGGGGACACAGTAGAGGTTTATAACACTGTACAGAGTCTGGAGAAAGTTGCTAAAGTGGATTTTTTTCCCCTCCTCAAAGCACCAGAGCTATGCATGTGTGTCATGCAAAGAACCAGCCGGCAATAAAATTGGGGCAGGCAAAAGGGAGATCTTCAGAAAAGCACAGTTCATCTGTGGAACTCACTGCCACAAGAATCAGTGATGAGCGCTAGCCTAGATGGCAGAATGGAAGGATTAGACAAAACCCTGTGGGGAGGGGAGGCCTCCTGGAAGTTGGGGTGGCAGAGGGACTGGAGCGCTGGACTGGGACTGGGGAGATCTGGTCTCTGGTCTCCGCACAGCCATAAAGTTCTCTGGGTGTCTTTAGGGCAATCACCAAACGGGGACTGCGGTGTGCCAGGGAGACAAGCGGGAAAGTTGAGCTCATCCCTCGAAGCAGGGAAGGGACGGCGTAAGGTGGCAGCTGTGGATGAAGGAGGACTCCACCCGGACCCAAGCACACAAGGACAGGTAGCAAGATGCATTGCCTTGTACCGATCCACGGATAAGAACCCTCTTGGAAGAGCCTCTTTCGCACGTCATCTCTGAAGTCCCGGCGGAGTGGAGACCTTTCCAGTTAATCATTGAAGCTTCCAGGAGAGTCATACAAAGGAGATGGTCTGTTCTGAGCGTTAGACTTGCAAGCTGGTCACTGGGTTTGAGTCTTCTGAGTTACAGCTAGGCTGAAAAGATTCTGGACACCCTGCCAATCTGATTTCTTTTGGCCGTAAACCAATAATAATTCCTTATTGATCTTAAAAAAAAAAAAAAAAACAATCCAGCAGCATTCTTATTCTCGTCAGAGTAGATTTATTTC